CGTGAAGACCCACTCTGTGGAGACACAACCATCCCTCCACCACACTCCCAGGAAAAATGAGCTTTCTTCCAGAGTGTCTGAAGGAACTGTTATGCTTTCTAAATAGTGAAGCACAGAAAGTTCTGGAATTTTGGGGGGGTGGGGTTAAGAAAATTGACCCGGGAAACAATAGAGCGTTGATGGTACCGTGACCCTGAAAAGACCCAGCATCTCTGGTGGACCTGGAAGGTAGCACTTTTATTGCAGCAGACAGCATGCTTTCCTTTGGTCCCTGCAGGTTGTTTCCTCTTTCTGCTTGAGCTTGGGTGTGGTTCTGTAGGAAAGTCCACGATGTCCTCTGGCTTTGAATGGAGTTCTGTACCAGGGTCCCCTGCACCAGGGGGACCTTTGACACTCACTCACACTCCCTGCACAGAATCCTGGCAGCTTAAATGGTTTCTTTGAGAGGAGAAGCCCCCAGTTGCTGAAGAGAAATTTCTTCACTCTTATGTTCTGTGTCTCTTTTGGACAGGCCTTCTTTGACTCTGCTCAAAGGCAAATTGAAACTGCAGTAATTTTCCTGTTTTAGTCATTTCCAACTTGCCCACTTGTCCACTCTAAACCAATTACATTTTTAGAAAAATCCCAATGTTCAAACCATTTTTTTTCAGTTTGGTTTGTTTGAAACAGGGTCTGTTTTGTTTTTTTGAAACAGGGTCTTATTAGATATCTGTGGTTGACTTGTAATTCACTCTGTAGACCAGGCTGGCCTTGAACTTACAGAGATCTACCTGTCTCTGCCTTCCAAATGCTGGGATTAATGCTGTGTGCTACCATACCTGGTTTATGTCATTCTGGCAAGCACTTTACCACTGTGTTGCCTCCTGGGCCCCTCCAACCTCCCTTCCTGTATCTCCTGGTCTATTTTTTTTTGGAGACAGGGCTTCTCTGTGTAGCTTTGGAGCCTATCCTGGCACTCGCTCTGGGGTCCAGGCTGGCCTCGATCCTTGTCTATTTCTATCTTTTCTCTTTTTCTTCATTGTTGGACCTGTCTGGTTGAGAGGAAGCCATCATAGATGGAGGCAGAAGTGGGTTTTTATGCACAGCCATGGAGGATCCCTCTGACTTCCAGGCATCTCTGTAACCATTTGGTCCACACTCCACAGTGCCAAAGGACACTCACCTTCTCTCCATTGCAGCAATGGTTTCCACCAGTGGCACATTTCTGGTCTCAGTCAGGAAGCAGGCAACAGCCATTCCAGCCAAGACTGAAGTGGCACCAAAGGACACAGGTGGAAGAACAGGGCTGATCTCACCAAGTGTGGTGACCAAGGGTGCGGCCAAGCCTCCGAGGCGGGCATTGACAGAGGCAAAACCCATTCCCATCTGCCTGTGGGAAATGCACATCTATCAGGAGCTGGGTCGGGGGCCCCAAAGTGTCAGACCCTGTGGGTGTCAGAGAGGGGAGTGGACCCCTGCCTGCCTGGGTGCCACTCCTCATACATACCTGATCTCTGTGGGATAGAGTTCTCCTGTGAACAGGTACACACAGATGAAGGAGCTGGCCAGGCAGCCTTTGCCCAGTGCTGCCTGCACTGTCCGCAGGGTCTGCAGATCTAAAGAGGCAAGAGGGAGGTGGAGCTGTGGGGTGGAATAAGGCTATGATGGAAGGCTGGGGGACCTTGGGTTTGGAAAGAGGACCAGAGGGTAAAACTTGGGGCATCGGAGGAAGTACAAGAGAAAGCCATGAGCCGATGGCAGATGTCTTTAATCCCAGCCCTTGGGAGGCAGAGATGGGTAGATCTCTGTCTAAGATCAGCCTGATCTGCAAAGAGGGCTTGGGACTACATAGTAAGAACCAGAGAAGGGTGAAAGTGTATCCACTACTCCATTCCTGTGTGGGATTCAGAAGTCAAATTTGCCCTATCTGACTTCTACTTCCTCACTTATTTGCATCTGTCACCATGGTCTTCAGTGGAGACAAGACAAAGTTTGGAATCAGGCTTCGGTACAAACCCTAGCTCTGACCCAGGTAGGTGACTTAAGCCACAGTAGCCTCCCAGACTTTCTGTTCTGCCAGTAGGGAAAATACTAGCACTGCTTTGCATAGTCATTCGAAGGTCTTATAAGGTGGACAAATGTTACTAGTGCAAAGTGTTTGGTGCTCACTAAGCATTTCCTATTATGTCATTAACATGTTTGTCCTGTTGCTTGTATAAATTGCAAACCCTGACTCAAATGTTCCACATTAAGCGCTCAAAGAAATTGTGTACCAGTTTTAGATTGGTGTTAGCTGGAGTGCACCCTGAGATCGTGTGGGGAAAGTCCCTGAACTATCCACGCCCAAACCAGTTCTGCATCAATTATACAAATTCCTCTCTGGCATAGTAACTTAGGTTTCCTTCTTATTCTTTTTGAGACAGGGTCTCACTTTGTAGTCTAGGCTGGCCTAGAACTGGTGATCCTTCTGCCTCAGCCTTCCAAGGGCACAAATAATAGGTGTGTTTCTGGTCAAGTTCCAGAGGGGCTCCCATTGCTTCTGGAACCCATGTCTGTGTAGCTACCACAGGGCAGCAATGATGACTCACCCTCAGGCACAAACATGTTGGCGATGACCATGAGCCCAGCTAGGATGAGAAAGGAGGCCACTGTGGCCCGTCGTCCCACATAAATCATGGTGGTAGTGGCAACCAGCATGGCTGGGATGTCGATGATCCCAAACAGAGCCTGTACCAGGTAGATACTGAGTCCAAACTTCTGCAGGTCCATGGCCAGGCCATAGTAAGCCACGGAGTTAGAGAACCTGGGAAAGGCAGCAGAATGACTCACTGTTCTGAGGCTCAAGGCAAGGGACACAGGATGTGTGATCTGGGGGTCCTCCCCTTGGGGAGCTCAAATCCCCTGGCCTCCAGCACATCTTCTGGTCCTCTAAGCCTCTGACTTTTGAGCGCTTTCCCACTACAGCTCACCACCCACTCCCCTGAGTTCAGGCTCTGAGCTCTGGGGTATGTTTGATTTTCACTGTCAGTACAGCTTCAGTGAGGGAATTAAAACAGTGCTAAAGAATAAAAGCATAAGAAGACAGAAGTTAAAGAACACAGGAACCATAGCTCATACCAGTCTGCGCCTGAAGTTCTAACACTTGGGAGACTAAGGAGGAAGATGACAAACTGAGGCTAGCCTTGACCACATAGTGAGACCCTGTCTTAAAAGCTTACCTTTGTTTTTGTGTGCAACTGTATGGTCTATGTGTACATATGTATTCCTGTGTGTGTGTGTGTGTGTGTGTGTGTGTATACATGCATGTGAAGGCCATATGTTGACAATAGGAACCTTCCTCAAAAACTCTCCAAGTTATCTTCATTTTATTAATGTTTGTTTTAGTCTGTGCACCTGTACAAACATGGAGGTCAGGGGATGGTTTGGGGAGTCAATTCTTTTCTTCTACCTTGGGTTCTGTGACAGTCCTTTTGCCTGCTGAGCCATCATTCAGTGCTGCTGCCTTATTTTCTGAGACAGGATCTCCAAACTGATGGAGCCCTCACCCCTCCCCATTCTCTCTCTGACAGGGTCTTACATCATAGCTTGAGCTGGCCTGGAACTTACTGTATAGCCCAGGCTGACTTAAATATCACAGTAATCTTCCTGCCTTGGCCTCCCAAGTTCTGGAATTATAGGCAAGAGCCAAGTATCTAGTTGTGTTCTATTTCTGGACCAGACATGAAAATCCGTCAACCTGATTTTTGTGATGCACATTTTTGTGTGTGTTTTCAGTTCGAGGGAAGGGTGGCACACCCCTGTAACGCCAGCACCGAAGGAGCAAAGACAGCAGAATCCAAAGCTCAGTGCCAGCCTGGGCTACAGAGTGAGACACCATCTTAAACAACCAACCAAAACAACAAAACAGACAAAAATGGTGAATGGATGGGCATAAGTTTAACGTGGTCCTCCCCATTCCTCTCCTGAGTTGACACAAACCCTCTCCTACTTATCCAAACACCAATATTAGGTGTTGTTTTGAAAGGATTTTGCATGTGTAATGAAGGTCTTATGTCAGGTGACTTGAAGAGAGATGGGGAGGGGTGTGAGGGAAACTGATCCAATCATTCAAGGCCTTTAAACCCGAGTCTATAGGTCAAAGGCAGGGAGCTAGAAATTCAGAGCCTTAGCCATTTTTTTTTTTCAGTTTTATGAGATAGGGTTCATATAAGCCAGGCTGGACTTGAACTTGTTATTTTTTAGAGGCTAACCTTGAACCCCTGAGTCTTCTGTTTCCACTTTCCCACATGCTGAGGCTGTGGGTGTGTGACACTTTGTCCAGGCTGAAAGCAATCTGATGTGAGAGTCTTCACCAAAAAGGAGACTGTCACCTAGCCAGGAATGTACGCGGTCTCTAGGAACTGAGAGTGGTCAGTGGAGACATCCACCGTACAGCTGCAGAGAGTAGAACCCTGCCAAATAAATTCTTCCTCAAAGGCTCTACTAAGGAGCTCAGCTAGACAGATCCCTTAGACTCAGCCTTGTAAGAGCCCTGCAGGGCCCCTAGCTGACTCCAGCCCGGCCTGCCGGGTGGAACTACCTTGTAGGTGTTGCTTGCAATGAGTAAAACCTAATCATTGTGGCCTTTAAGAAACCCAAAGAACAAACAAGAAAAAACCACTGGGTTCATATTCATAGCCCCGAGGGCATGCTGTTGGCAGAGTTAGCAGGGAAGATAAGAAATGCCTTTGTTCTTGAAATGGTCTTCCCAGAGACTGGACCATGACCAACTTGGAGCACCATTCAGGTGGGACTGGTATAGGCAGTGTTCTGGAAAAACCTGGTGTATGAGAATTGGATACCAAGAATAGAAGGTGCCAAGAGACAGACTAGTCAGCATTGGTAGGCTTCAGGTTATTTTGGACCTGCAGATGGAAGCATATCTTGGTGCCCAGGGGCAGGAGGAAAGGCTTTTTATGCCAAGCTATGCCAAGATGTATCAGGGCCAATTGGGATGTACTTGGATGGTCTCAAGAAAAACATGTACGAGGGCTGGAGAGATGGCTCAGAGGTTAAGAGCACCGACTGCCCTTCCAGAGGTCCTGAGTTCAATTCCTGGCAACCGCATGGTGGCCCACACCCATCCGTTATGAGATCTGGTGCCCTCTTCTGGTGTGCAGATATACATGTAAGCAGAATACTTTATACATAATAAATAAATAGAAAGCTTAAAAAAAAAGAAAAAGAAAAACATTTACATATCTCAAATGTCAGTTAAGAAGCAGTCCTTAGTTTAGTGCTTGGCACTAAATGCGTGGCTGACTACCCAATCAAGTTTGTTTACCCCACTAAGTTTGGATGCATGCTGGGGGACTGTAGGGGTGGCCACAAATGGAGGTCACATTCAAGACGGCTACAGTCTTCTCAAACCGGATCCCAGCACAGGGAGAACAGACTAGATAGATGTTTCCCATGATTCCTTTCTGTCTGACATCCTTGTACCTGACAAAGCTGTCACATTCCTTCCTTTATTCACTCATTAAAAAACAAGTATCAGGACAGAGTATTAACTTATTTTTATAGGAACGTATGTGTATGTGCACACGTGTGTGCATATTGGCCCTGGGGTCAACTCCAGAGAAGGGCAAGAGTAAGAGAACAGTCCCTCTCTTCCTTCCTTCCTTCTTTTCTTTCTTTCTCTCTCTCTTCCTTCCTTTCTTCCTTCCTTTCTTTGTTTCTTTGTTTCTTTCTTTCTTTCTTTCTTTCTTTCTTTCTTTCTAAGATGGAGTCTTGCTATGTAGCCCTGACTTGTCTGGCACTCCCTGTGTAGACCAGGATAGCCTTGTAATCTCAGAGATCTGCTTGCCTCTGATCAAAGGCATGCACCACCACAGCCAGCTGAGAACATTCACTTTCAGCCGAGATATTGCTTTTATATAATTCGCTCTTCTAATCTTCACAATGGCACTATATGATGGGTGTTATTATAAAAACCACATAAGTGATGGGGAAACTGAGGAACCCAGAGATTAACAAGTTCAGGATCAAACAATAAATGGTGGTGATGAGATTTAGACTTCAGCCATCGGTTTGTCAGAGTCTTGCCCCCCCCCTTTTTTAGTACATTGACTATGCATTGCTTTTCTAATTTGTAAATTAGCC